ATTCCAATTTAGAACTCCGTTAGTGGAGCTGCTGAGGAATATACCAAGTCAAATGCTTTTCGCTATTGATGGGAAAACCTTTAGAGATATAACTGATTAAAATTCAATGGTATCGTGTGGAATACTATTAATAATAGGATACTAAACTATCATGCCTTAATTCACATTAATTAAATGTAGGTGACGCAATATTTTCATGCCTTTTACTCTTTTCTTAAAGATGTATGTAAAGGATTAATAAATTCGCTATATTGGAAACTGAAGAAAGATTGGCTTGTAGTTATAAATGGTTTTTTGCAAAGACGTCTTCGGCCCACTTCACTCGATTCCGATGAATTTGCGCTGATTTTTCTTATTTCATTTGTTAGGCATTATCGGCTTGTGAAATCATGCCTTACGAACATTAACCTAACGCTAGCACATGAAGCTTCTTTCTTACTCGCGAAACTCAGCTTCTCCACATATTTGTTTGTGACCCAAGTTCTAAATCAGTTTATTCTCTGCAGAAGAGCACATTTATTTTGCTGTCATTTTTCTTTGTTTTCGTTTAGTCAAGATTTGTGGCTGTTTTACAAAAAGTCGAATTTACTTAGCGATTTTTTTCTTTCCTGTTATCGATACCTCCCTCGAAATTTAATTGAGAAATCTTTTTCTACAATTGGCTGGTTAGCCTTTTGGCTTGCTTTGTTTATTTACTCTAACGGGATAATTAAAATTAAAATTTTGCAAATATTGAGTTTATATAAATTTAGGTATCAAGTGATCTTTTTTGCAAGAGAACATTCAAATCCACAAGCAAATTGTATTAAATTCCCTCTGTTATTATTTGTATGTAATATTTTTCTTATTGTTATTAATTATAGAGACTGTTGAATATACAAGTAATGTTGAATACGAATGTAGTTTGAGTACGTTACCTCATTAACAGAATCATTGTATAATATTATTTGTATTCTATTTTTTGCCTTAAATACTTCAGTTGAAGGCACACCTTTACGAGGCTGCCTCAGTTAAGAATCAGATTACTCCTTGGCACAAGCAGACGGCTGAAGAGATGAGGCGCACCTCAGCTGCTTCTGATCCTCGTCGATGGTGTCGTCAGCTGGGCGTGGAGGAACAACGGCTGTATGAAATGGTGCGCCTCCGTAATCAGTTTACGCAGTTGCTCCGCGACGCTGGACTTGTAGAGGCTCGAAACCGGCAAAGCGATGAAGAAGAAGATGATGATGATGATATCACACAGATTGTAGGACCTGAAATGTCTCGAAGTTCTCGAAGTGCTAATCGAAAGAATTCGTCAAGCAAATGGAAGCGGTTGAATTTCGCGAAGCGTATGGAGAGGGTGCAAACAAAGAGGCGCCGTATTCTGACCTTACAGGATAATGTTAGTTATCCTCTCTGATATTTCCTAAAGTAGTGTTTGGTTACCTGCACATAAATGACCTAGATGAATATCTTTCATACTCCTATTGCTGTAACTCGTTAGCTTAGTTATCTTAAAATTCACATTCGTCATTTTTTTATTGAAGCAACATATGTCTTTAGAAGTGATACGGCTTTTTATGCACCACTTGATTGGGTTGCCAAATAGACCTAGATGGATGCATCTTGTTCAGAGTCCTCTCTTACTAACTAAGACAAGTTCCAGGGTCGAAACTTGGGCCACTACAAATTATCATTGATACTATGGCAGAGTAATTTGGAAGAGGTGCGTATATTAGGTCAAGACACTTCTATACAAGAGAGACCACGACCATTGTAAAGGCCAGACCATCTCGTCCTTCATACATTCGATTATATTTGCTTACCGTCATTTCCCTTTTGTTTTACTTTTGGCCAATTCAGATTTCTAACTCTTTATTACTAATGGATAATTTGCTAGCATCTTAATTTAAATTCATTAATTTATTTTGAGTAAACCTGGAAACACTTTTCCCAAACTTGAAGCTACCAGTTCATCCACGCTTTAGAAATGTATGAATTACGCAACTGTTTTTTTTAATAATTACGATTTGAAGTAATTATCTTCAGTTTATTCGATGGATTCTGTTTAAATATACTCCGTTTTATAGAGTCCGATATTGATTAGCTTGAAAACAACGTTATATGAACACAAATTCGATTTGGGAGGATGAATTTTGAGATTTGACAGATTATTTGGAGCTCTGTTAATTATAAAAATTGTAATTGTTTATGTCGAAATCGAGATATATGTTTATAGGAATACGATTTATTTCTCCAATTCGATGTTATCATTTGGGTTACATATTTAGATTTCATCTCCTACTCTCAGAATATCTTAATTAAATTAGCAGAAACTCCATATTAAAAATGCTTTTTATTGATAATTATCGTAAGGTCTCTCAAAGTTGCGCTGAAGATTGCTGATTTTATAGGTTTATTTGACCTTGTTTTCGCAATTTGACCATATTGATAGGAAGACCTAGAGGAGCGCACCTAGACCATAGCCCATAGTATGCATGATAATTTTCAGAGTCGGACCGTGGATGTGGCACATTCCTAGACATTTCGGCGGCATCGTCATTGAGCTTTGCCAGTCTTAGCAGCACACACAAACTACAAATGCGTCAAAGTGACAAATGAGGTCGATCCTTTGAGCAATTGTCGGTTAAACAATTGTGGTATAGCTCCTGCTCTGAGCTATTCATCAATCATATACCATAGTATCACCCATTCATTATCACAATTTCTTATTTTAATGTGACGTGGTGTGCCTTTTTTCAGCTGATTTCATTAGAACTTGTCAAATCCCACGTTGGT